GGGGGGGGGGGGGGGAGGAGGGGGGGGGGGGGGGGGGGGGGGGGGGGGAGTACGGTTCGCGTCTTCACATTCGCTCGTTATCTACATATTTATAGGTGGTATACGTACACGCTTGCGCGTCGCAGCATGAAAATATCGGTATACGGTCTCGCTTTGTGTCAGCATTTCACAGAGGTAAAATCGACGTTTTCTCAGTTTCTTTGGTTCCGCTGCGTCACGAGGAGAGAGAGAGAAAGAGAGAGAATTAATTATACTTCTTTCTAGATTTTTCTTCTTTGCTTTACATCGAATGCAGGTACTGAAGGAAGGGTATATATAGGGCGCTCTGAACACTTTGATGTTGGACCTGTAAGAGTACTGTCAGCTCGTCTCCCGTCGTTCATGGCTCTCCTCCGCGGTTCTCTCTTTCCCGGTACATATTTTCTTTCTATTTCCGTGCAAGTACGCGCGGAACGATGTTCGCGGACTGAATGAAAATCGGTGAACGGCCTCGCGTCCTCGATCGAGTAACAATTACTTCTTGAACTTTCAAACGTTTATTAAAAATAATTTCGCGCAACGAACTCAAGGATTTGTTGTCGGTTGCTTTGGTCCCACCACGATCCATGCGATTTTAGTCCTCTCGGTCCGCTGTGCATACTTTTACGGGTCCTGGATTTTCGCGTGTCTCTTTTTGGCACAACTCGCTACGGAACACACACGATTAAATTTCATTGAAAACATCGACCACGGGCGTTCCCGCCGTTAGAGAAGCGACGGCGACAAACACGCTGCGGAGGGAACGCCGTTATTCGCGCGTGGTCTCGAGCGAATTTTTGTTCGAGCCTCGATTGAGCTTTTGATCCTGTACACACGGGGGATAGTGGATACACGGAAGATTGTCGCGTGCGCGGAGGATCTCGCGCGATCCTTTTCGGGGAACGGAAACGTGGACAGAAGAAGATCACGGCCGATTTCGAGCGCGACTTCTCCCCGCGCGGCCTATTTTACGGGCCGTTTTTCTCTCGCTCGCGAAGCGACGCGTTCCGAGGCGAGGACCAGCCGGATAAAAAAACCTTTTCAGCCGCAAATTCAATAGCGCGAACGCTCGCTTTTTTTCTTTTTCTTTTTTTTTAATAATCGGATGGGATCTCGTTTCTTCGCAAATTATCTTTCCGCGTTCCGTCCGCCGGAATTTGACAAAGAAAAGAATCGCGCTTGAATGGAGATATTCTAGGTCAGAAGTCTGCTGTTCAAATAGCTTCGAGTGCAAAGGGTTAAACAACGGGGTGACTTGACCTAAAATCTGCAGCGTGCCGTCGCCAAGACAAAATTTCTCTGTTGCTATACAGGGTGTCCCGCCTACGATTGAACACTCGAATCTCGTCTCGCATTGATTTCGAGACTTTCGCACCGCAGTTTTCGGAACGTTATTCAAACAATTATCGTACAGACGACGAACATATTTATCTATTCGGTCCTGGGACGTGTTCCGACCAGTTCCCGCTGGTACAAATACCGCGGCGTTTCCCTTGATCGATTGAAACGCCACGTTTTATCCGGCCGACGCTGTTCGCAGCACCGTCAGGACTCGTCGATCGGCAGAAAAGACTGGTCCACCGTGACTTCGCGTTCGAACTTCATTCGCCGGTCGCTTCCCCGTCCGTTTGCTTCGTTCCTTCCGGTTCGTCCGCGTTCGTCACGTGAACAATAGGGCTGGAAGGTCGGCTGGGCAGCCGAGGATTGTCCCGAGCTGCGTCCGCGCCAGCGTCCGGCTCGGGTTTCGGGCAGGTTTCGGTCATTGAGGATGCGACGTCCTCGTCGGAGGAGGTCCTGGCGTTGCCAGGCGACGACGGGGCGGTTTTTGCCTCCGATTCGGCAGGACTTCCGGTCCCGGGGGCGTCGCTCGTCCTGGAAAGATTGCTGGGATCGTCGTCGCCGAGTCTCGCGTCGTCGCAGCTGTTCGATTCCGCGTCCGCGGGGCCGGGCAACGCCAACGAATCCGGCGGCTTTTTGACCCGAGCTCCAGTCCCCAGTTCGTCCAATGGGATCCCGAGCTCGTTAGAGGCCCACACGTCGCAGACAGGGCTGCAGGACGATCCTCCGAGGGCCTGAGAGGGTCTCGCTTTCCTCGCGTCCTCCATCGAGTGCCAGCGCTGCGACTTCGATATCGATGAACCGGAAGCGATCGCGTTTAGGCTGTTCGCCGGGACTATCCGATGAGGGAACCGCGGCGATCCTCGGATCTTCTCCCGGGAGGACGATTGGCTGGTGCTCGCTTCTGATACGGTATGAATGGTTCGATTATTGTTTGCCTGCGGATTTCGTTCATCCATCGCACAAAAGTGAGATTTGAGAGAATGGAAATATATATTGTAAGAATTTAGGGACGTTTATATATTGTTTTCGAGTTGCTGAAATTATTTAAAAATCTGTTTTTAAACAGATCATGTTTGTTGCGATCGATGAACAGCGTTTTTATTTCGCATCGAGATCCGCGGTCGAGAGTTATGTATTACGCTCCTTTCGAAACGGGGTCTGTTTTCTTCTGTGTAACTTCACGTGAATCGAAGTATTTTTTTAATTTTGATCAATGTGTCTTAAAGTGAACTCTTCGAGCTTTATCTTCAGCCTAATCAAGGTTAAAAATTCCTACAAGAATGCGAGTTAAAATTGTATCAAAGTTTCGAGTAAAAATCGAGGCATTTCCCTTCTGCTCCGGGATCGCGATGTTTCGATTCCTTTTTTAAACGGTTTCTAGTTCTCTGCGAGATCGAGATACGACCCTATCGCAAAGTAGACTCTCCGAGCTTTCGTTCAAGCTTAATAAACTCGAAAAATTCCCACGGGAAGAGAACGTGGAATCGCGTCGAAGTCCCCTTTGGAAATCGAACGATTTATCCCCTCGGTTTCCATCGCCGATGTTCCCGAGCGAAAACGTACCGATCGCGAATTCTGTGTTCTCCCGGCTCGAATCGGAGCTGCGGAAGTTGCGAAATTCCCTGCGGGAACCGAGAGTAATTAACAGGATTTGACGTTCGAATGGCCGACTTACTAGGCGGCAGGCTAAAATTGACTCTGGGCTCGCTGCTCTCTTTGCGACGCAGCCCGAGGCTTAGTCGGCGATCTTCTTCGCTAGTAATACTAATGATTGGTCCTGAGCCGCAACGGGGGTGAGGTGGACGGGCGCCTTGGGCATTCACCTGACAGGTGGACGCGGCTTTCGTGCCGGGCACCAGGCCAGCGATGTATCCCATGTGTACTCGCAGCGCTGACGCCACTCCTGCGGGATTACAATGCAGTTATTCGATATGTAATCCAACGAAAATCCGGCCGGACATTCCGCGAACGATGTTTCGTTGTACCGAGCGCCACTCTTTCCAAATTATTTATAGGGTTCGTTCCGCGCGTAATCGATCATCGCTTTTCGTTGTCGCGTCGGCGTCGGGAATCTCGTTCGCGACGATATACATACATACGATGTAGCAGCCACGAAATTAGGACAGGGTTTATGTCATCAGCAATGCTTCACTGTCTCTACGAAACCTCGATCGTGCCGGAATACATATTTTTTATAGCCGCTGAAAGAGAAAGATCGTCGACAGACACCGAAACGTTGCGATCTGCGTATGTAAAACACCGCCTTTTCGATTCTCCGCTGCCGGTCTGGCTCGGTCGTTTCTCAACAATACAATTTCTAGACATCCTCCAAGGTCTACGGAACACTTAGGAACAAAGCTTGCGTTAATATACTGTCAACGATTGTTTGTATAAACGAATTTGCAAACCTCGACGCGCTGACCGCCGGCCACGAAATAACGCGTCCGTTTAAGGTTACATTAATGGACCGCGGATTCGACGGATTTTTTACGAAAATTGAAGAATTAGGAACGATCGATTAAGGAAAGATCGAAAGAATTTTAGTGACATCGTAAGATTGTTTTTAACGCGTTGAGATAATTATTTCTGACAATCGACGCGAAAGGTTTCTATTTTACATGAAGATCCGTTCGTCGCTGATACAGAAAGGCGTCATAAAAAGGATTGTAGTAAATTCTCCTAATTTTCCTTCATTTTATAAACAGAAACAACTACGTTTTTATAATTGTTGGCAGTCGGCGATTATAAAAGTGGGCCGCGAGCCTCGAATAATCGCAACTCTTCCCAAATTGTCCATTTTCGTTTCCAGGCCGAAGGAAAATTAGAGCGAATTTACTGTAATTTGTTATGTTCTCGTATTACTATTGTTTACGTATTATTTTCAATCGTCGTCGTCGGGAATAGATTTCTTAAAAAAAAAAAATAGACTCGGCAGTCAACGCGCCGCTATACGGGGTAGCAGAAAACGGGAAACTATGCCGCTGATATCTCTGGAAAGAATTCAATCTGGCGGCTCCTCGAACGCATCGAGCATGCACAGAGCGTGTTCTAATTACCGTGGTGAACGAGCATAATTGTTCTCACCGGTGAACGAAGCGGTGGAGGTCTTCCTGCTGGCGGGCCGACTGCCGAACAGACTGAACAGTCTCTGGAAAACGCCTAAACGGCTCGGCCCTTCGGTCTCCCTTCTTCGATGGAGCTTGTAGAGGTCTGCTAAACTCCTCCTGGGACCGTCCGGCTCCAGATCTGGCTGGCTGCTAAACGCTACCGTACCTCGGCGCATTCCTAAGTCAGTGGAACAAGTCGCAGGTCGAGTCTCGCGTTCCTTAGGCCCGCGAATCGTGTTGCTTTCGCGGCCGGTTCTAACACTGTTACTGGCAGCGGCAGTCGCATCGATACTGCGAATCGAAGCGTAACGCAGAAGCGAAAGCAGGCGGCTACTGGTGTAATTGCGGAAGAGGAAGGAGAAGAACTGTGTATCTCTCCGCCGTGGGAGTGTTCGCTTTCGCGTGTCTTTCGAAACCTTTCCTAATATGTTGTACAAGCTCGATGGCGCCACGGAATAACATCATTGAATCCGCATTCGCAAGCTGCGCCATCGAGTTTGGCCATCTACGGTACATTCTCCCTAATTGACGCTCGGATTCTGCACAATTCAGGACAATTTGGGAAGAGGAGATACGATTGTTCGAGCCTCGCGGCTCGTTTCTATAGTTACCGATTGTGAACAGGTGTGTCCCAAACGCGTCCCACGATATGGAAATGAGGGATTCCTGAGATCATTTGAAGCAACTTTTACCTTAGCGAAAATGCAATCCGCGGCTTCGTTTACGAGTTATTCACGGAAAACGCTGACCAATCGCAGAGCGAGCGCGGCAGGCGCCCCGCCCTTGCGGCCAATGCCGCGTCGCGCCGGACGTCTGACGCTACGGGCGTGGTCGCGAGGGCGGAGCGTCAGCCATACGCGTTCTCTCACTGGTCAGTGTTTTTCGTCGATAACTCGTGAACGAAGCCGCGGATTGCATTTTTGCAAAGGAAAAAGTTGCTTCGAATGACCCCAGGAATCACCTGTTTTTGTGACACTCTGTATAAAAGCGAGGCTGGAATAATCGTATCTCCTCTTCTCAAATTGTCCATTTTTGTACGCAATCTGAGCGTCAATTAGGCAGAATTTACTGTACCGATTTATCGTCGGTGCATTCTGGAACGCGTGCAAAGCTGGTGCACTACGTCGACCATAAGCTTCTGGACACTTAGGTCATTTCTGTCTTCGCGCGACCGTTTCCGTTCGCTCTTGCTGGTTCATTAGAATCTAATGCAACTGTTAGACGGACTATTTAAAGGCAATTAGAAGATTAGATTAGCAACTTAATGAAGATTAGAAGACTCGATGCATTTTTATGCGTTTCTATACACTCGTAAGTGCATCGTGAACTTTCACTATCTACTTTGCCTCGACCAACAAGAAAGTTTTACTCGATTAACTGAATTCGTTCCTTGTTTTGATTTTGAGGAAACAATTGGTAATTATAAACAAATTTTTAGTCGGCGAATCTTGTTGAACTGAGAATTGTGCTATAATTGGGTGCAAATGCATGAGAATTTGATTAATGTAGCTATTAGTTAGACTATTTAAAGGCAATTAGAAGATCACAAAAATTTCGAGACAAAAATGAACAAATAAAGAATGACAAAATAACGAAATTCGAGAAGATTAAAAGACTCTATGCATTCGCTGTTGCTTCGTTATGCATTCGTAGATGCAGCAAGAACGAACAATCAATATCTGCAATGTCTTTGCTACAAACAATCGAATACATTCGTCACGTTGATTTTGATAATAATAATAATAATAATAATTGATAATAATCGATAGTAATTATTAAACCGCGAATTCGATGCATTTACGTCAAAAATAGTGAAATTCGCTACGAAACTATTTACAACATCAAACGAATTTTTAAATTTTCAACTTATCCAGCCTATTAAAACAAGAAATACTTTTTTAATTCAACTCTTCTGTTTCGTCCAAATTAATACACAAAATTTCTATTCTACGTAAAGATCGCAGACCACCGATCGCAATCAAATTTTTAGTCGTCGAATTCGGCGCCGATTGGCCGCAACGGCATAAAAATTCGGTCGCGATGCCGACAGAATTCGATTCGATAGATCTCGCGAGTAGCAACGACGCCGGGGACTGAATAATGACAGTGCCGGAGTACTTATGGCCGACAGCACTATGCATGGTGCAGAGGCCCTCGATCCGAAGTTGCCGGTTAGATTTCTTGCGGCCCCGGGGGAGGGAGCCGAGTGGCGGCCTACTGTCCCGAGTGGCAATTACTATGTCAGAAATGCATGGACTGTGTTCGCAAGCAGGCACCCGCGGGTTAATAATACGGTCCGTGGTCGGCAACGCGATCACAGTGATTCCGGCCGCGCCGTTTTCGTCCGCGATCCTGGACGGCGGTCGATCAATTTTCTCCCCCGTGCATTATGCACGCGGATGCACGCAGACGTCGCTCTGTTCCGGGACGGGATCGGGCGCACCAAACGTAGCCGCGAACTTGAATGAACGCGGCTAGTATTAATAGGCATGCCGCTCCAGATCGTCGAACAACAGCGAACGATCCCCGTCGAACTACGCTCTCTAACCGGGGGCCGAAAACGTGTACGACTCTACGGTTGCATGCAGTTTTTTTCGTGTCGGGAACTGTCTAAACCAAGCGGTGGCTCGCCGAAGCGCGAGGATCGTCGAGTTAGGAAAGGTCCGAGTTTCTCGTCGAACGGTGTCGAAACATTCCGAAACGTTCGGTCGTCCTATTCTATCGCGAGAACGGGTTCTTTCGTCGCGAATCAAGGCGGGAAAATAAATGGCCGACGAGCGGATTCCGATTGCATCGAACAGCGAATTTTTAGTTTTACATCGTTGACGTTTCTGCGTGTTCGTCCGCGTTCGTCCTTCGAGATGGAAAATAATCGTCTAAGCCAAGCGGCAGTTTGTTTTCCAAGAAACGTTCGCTTGACGTGCCCGCGAGCCATTTATTCTCTCGAAATCGAGTAAAAAAGGGACAAGCATAGAAACGTTCGAACCGTTCAAGCTATAATGCGTGCAATAAACGGAATTCTGTCACCTTTCCTGAACACCTGAATGACACCCGACGAATGACGAAGCGAGAAGAATATTAATTATGTATCGTTCCTTCCTTCTCTCCTTGGTATTTTTTTTGTGTGGTTTTTTCATTCATCGTGCAAATTTACATGATACATTGCGGAAGATCGTTTCGCGGGTGCCTCTACCAAAAAAAAGCGATCCTTTCCATGTACACGCTCTAGTTGTTCGCCGCCGCTTTTGCTGGCGGACGATTCGACGGGAACCTGCACACAATACGGCTCTGCACACACCGTAAATCATCGGCACTTACGCGACGATTAATCATATCGATCTCGGACAGCTTCGTCAAAAAATATTTCCGTCGATCTTTCGCGAAACATTGTTTCTCAAACTGTTCTATCTAAGATCAGCTGATCTATCTAAAATCGGTTGTTCGATAGAAAATCAGCTGTTGTATCTAAAATGAGCTGTTCGATCTAAAATCAGCTGTTTAATTGAAAATCAGCTGTTCTATCTAAAATCAGCTGTTTAATTGAAAATCAGCTATTCTATCTAAGATCAACTGTTTTGTCTAAGATCAGCTGTACGATCTAAAATCAGTTGTTCTATCAGAAATCAGCTGTTTAATTGAAAATCAGCTGTTCGATCTAAAATCAATTGTTCTATCTAAAATCAGCTGTTTATTTGAAAATCAGCTGTTCGATCTAAAATCAGTTGTTTAATTGAAAATCAGCTGCTCTATCTAAGATCAGCTGTTCTATTTAAAATCAGTTGTGTTCTATCTGAAATCAGCTGTTTAATTGAAAATCAACTGTTCGATCTAAAATCAATTGTTCTATCTAAAATCAGCTGTTTATTTGAAAATCAGCTGTTCGATCTAAAATCAGTTGTTTAATTGAAAATCAGCTGCTCTATCTAAGATCAGCTGTTCTATTTAAAATCAGTTGTGTTCTATCTGAAATCAGCTGTTTAATTGAAAATCAACTGTTCGATCTAAAATCAATTATTCTATCTGAAATCAGCTGTTTAATTGAAAATCAGCTGTTCTACCTAAAATCAGCTGTTCTATGGAAAGACAGCTGTTCGATTTCCTTCTTCCGATTCTCTTCGATATCTCTCACGCGATCTTTTCAATTCCTTCGATTTCTCTTTTCGTTTTGTGCACGATGTTTTGTGCTCGACGCGCTATTTATCCGAGCTCGTTAGGTGCCCAGGCATCGATCTTCGGCGGTGTGTCGGACGAAATAACGAAGACGATGTTTCTAGATTTCGGGGGGAAAGGCGAGGATCGGGTTTTCGAAGCTCGACGGAATGAACTCGTCTCCGTGATTTAGTCCAACACCACCGTGTGCGTCCAAGGTTCCCGTCGAACAGAGTTGGGCACGTTTGGAGAAGTTTCACCAATCGATAAAAATATGACCAACGTTGACTCGATCGAATTAGTCACTAGTCAGAAATCAGTTCCTCAAACGCGACTGCTTTCGTTAGTTCGGCGAAACTACTGGTCTGCGGATTTTATGCAGTTATGTGGTAAAAATTGATTCTAATATTTTCATTGTTCGAAATTTCATCCATCCATTTTTATCATAAATGCAGAATATTCGTAGTTAAATAACTAATTTACTAATACAGTCAGCTTTCAATAAATGACTACGTGGCTAATAAAATCATGTTTCACGAATGACTGCGGATTAATATTTCGTAATGCATCGATATCATCGATTGCGACGAAGAATATTCGAATAAAAGCTTCATTCTCTCTTTGATCATTTCAGTGTCGATGCGATCATTTTATTCCTCTAATATTTCCATTGTTTGAAATTTCGCCTATGCTTTTCTATTATAAATGCAGAACATCCGCAGTCTACTAATTTTCACAAATCACTAATGCCTGACGTGGCTAATAAAATTATATTCCACGAATGACTGCGGATTAATATTCCGTAATGCAACGAAATCATCGATTGCAACAAAGAAGATTCGAATGAAAGTTTCACGTGATCATTTTATTCCTTTAGCATAATGATTGCTTGAAATGTCACCTACGCATTTTTACTATAAACGCAGAACATCCGCAGTCCATTAATTTTCACAAACGACTAATGCCTGACGCGGCTAATAAAATCATGTTCCACGGCTACTATTCCGCGATCATCAGCCTTCGTTAGAGCACCGCTCGCGATCCTAATCATCGGTCATTCTTCCAATTACACTTTGCCCAACTCCGGCGTCGAATCGTCCCCGTCATCGTCAAATATCCGACCGTATAGAAAATTCATGAGAGACTGTCAGCGGGATGGATAACAAATGACTGGCGAAGCGGGGGGGATATGTCCGCGTCCTGTCGCGTCGCTTGGAAAGCGCGGATTCATTTGCACAACGAATCTTCGAGTGGAACAGGAGGGTCGAGGAGAAGGCGTCACTCACCGGATGGATCGGCGGATGGCCAGCTAGCCCTCGGTATGACCGGCGGTAGGACGCTGAGCAACAACAAAGGCAGGCCGCCGCCGATGCTCGGATTCCGTTGCGGAATCGACGCGCTCGACGAAGCGTGCGACGGCTCGACCGGCTCCTGCGCCAATTGTTTCTCCAATCTGGCCAGCTCCAGCTCCAGCTGCGCCATTTCGCGACGGTACACGCGGTTCTGCACCTCGACCCGGTACTGCAGCTCGCTGTCACGTGAAATCCCATTTCAGTCAATCGTTTCGCCGACGCTTTAACCCTCGCGCGGCCGACCGAAGTTTTCACGGTTGTCCGGCGAACCGGCGTACCGTCTCGTATTTGTGTCCGATTTTTCGGATCCCGCGATTCTTTCGAGGCTCGCGAGTCCCCGCCGCGATGCTGTGACACGCGCTGCTTCGAGCTGTTCGAGCGGGATTCAGCGACGTCTTCCTGATTCGCGCTCAGATCGCGCGCGAAAGTGGACGATTTGGGGAGAGAAGTTACTTGAAGTTACCTCAGGAATCACCTCTAACCCGGTGTTAACGTAATTATGGAACATCTTGTATATAGTTGTTCTAATAATCGCATCTTCTTCTCCAAAATTGTCCGTTTTTGTGCGCGATCTGAGCGCGAATTAGGTAGAATTTACTGCATATTTACTGAATCTCGATGATCGAACCGTGTCTAACAACAATAGGAGCGCGACTAGTTTTCTTAAAAATAATTTTTTAAAATAATTTCTTTAAATAATAGTTTCAGAAGAACTCGTTGCATTATACTAATCCGAATAATCAGATGAAATAGTCATATTACCGTAGAATTTTAACAATCTCTTAAGAACGAGTTTAAAAGAATGATCACAAACCTGCCGGCAGATATACAAGGTGTCCCAGAAGTGACCCAGAAAGGGTCAAAGTCGCCCCCAAAGTGTCCCCGAGGTCATTTGCAGCAACCTTTTCCCGAGGAACAAAGCCCCTCGTTTCTCGATCGCGAGCGACTTTCGGGACACCCTGTGGCGTGAATCTTCGACGTGCGAGAATCGACTTGGAACGAGTCGGGCCACACAGCGCAGGGTTACATATTTTAAAGCTACACAGCCCGGCGACGAAGCCGATACACCGGTCTAACGAGGAATATTATCGATCGTTGAAATTATTTAAACAATCAATTGTCGTACAGCTACCGTTTGGTGGCATCGGCGTTGAATTTTTGATCCCGTCGACGGCATCGTCGCGGTAAAATACGAGGTCTGAGAACCGTCACTTCGACGCGTTTAATCGTTCAGGATACATACAGGGTGCCCCAAAAAATATCTCCAAATCCGGAAGTAGTGGATTCCTCGGGTTATTCGAAGCAACTTTTTCCTCAGTGAAAATGCAATCCGCGGCTTCGTTTACGAGATATTCACGGAAAACAGTGACCAATAGGAAGCGAGCACGGCTGGCGCGAGGCGACCCAGCCAACGAGCGCGCGAAGGACAGAGCGTCGGCCGCGCTCGCTCTCCGATTGGCCGCCGTTTTTCGCTAATAACTCATAAACGAAGCCGCGGATTGCATTTTCGCCAAGGAAAAAGTTGCTTCGAATAACCGAAGGAATACACCGGTTCCGGATTTAGAGACATTTTCGGGACACCCTGTACAGTCGAGCGCGCTATTGATAAGTTTAAAGCCCCGAAGGATTCGGCTAACGACTAATAAATAAACCCGGGCAGCCGTGGTTTCGCGGGAGATTCAGTGATAGTAGGGGAGAGACGGGCTGAATAAAATATGATAAACGATATCTGTGACCCGGTTTAAGGCGAATCGATTCTTTGTACCGTAGAACCAGCACGCACCAAGGGTTTCGGGGACCGGGACACGATAGGGTACACCGTCCGAGGTCGATCCGTTCGATTAGCTCGAAACCGACAGACCTTTATCGCCGGGGTGACCAACACTGTCGCCACCTTTCTTCGCACCTGCACCCTTTCGTTTCTCTATTTTCCTCTTACCAGGAGATAAGCGGGATTTTCTTGCCTCCGTCTTCGACGTTTTTGTCTCGGACGAAATGGTAAAATGTTTTCCTCGCAGTTTCCTGTCTCTGCTGACAATCGAACTTATCCACCCCTTGCTCTTCGGGACTCTATGCCAGTGTTGGCTGAATCTATTTCAATCCTCTAACACCGATTTCTGAATTTTAAGAATGTAGCCTAATTTTATATCTACGCGGTGTCTTGAGGTAGAGAAGTACGCGAAGCCGCGTTATTAATATTACTAATTGATTATAGATTTGATCTCGAATCTTTTCGTCGTTGTTAGACTGCAGATTTGATGCATTTATGACAAAAACTTTAGAAATGTTATGGAATTATATTGAATGCGTCAAAATTATTAGAATTAATTAGTCTTACAATTAATGCACGTCATTTTTATTCCCCCCAATCCAGCCACGATGCTTTTTCAATTGTATATCTTGAGGAATTAATATTGCAGTTCCTCTCACATCAGATGTTAATTAATCAATTAATTAATCAACGTTCAAGATGACAGTATTCGCAAATCTGCTTCTGTCACAGATGCATAAAATGCATAAAATGCAGTTTTGCGCTCGAACAACGACTCGGTTAAAAATTGTTACATGTTACAAAAATAATTTTAGCATTATCAAATTTCTCCAAATTTAAAAGAAAAAAATACTATTAAAAGCGCAACCGTTGCACGGTTGTCGGAAAATTCGATTTCCAATGTAGGTCAACCGAAACTATTTTGGATTTCGAGTTGAAATCCTGCGCCGAATGTACATGATTAATCACTGTGCCGCGGGATTTTACTCATTTACGGCAACATTAAGGAAATTTAAAACAGCAAAAATAGATCGAGAGAATCTTGAGATATTAATCCGCCAGGATGATTCGAGGAAGAACGGTACAGTAAATTGTTCGCACGAGAATCTGCGGTCTATTAATTACGACGGCCGAGCGACTGGTTTTCCCGCTGGCTCGGCGAAAAAGTCTCATCAAAAGGATCGTCGCTTCGCCGCCGAGATAAAGATGGCTTACTTCTTGTCGTCGGTGACAAATCTCCTGGTGTTGCATTCAATCTTCAATCCGAGACTCTGGACGACGGGATCGGCTCTCTCGCCGGCCAAGATATTGGCCAGCTGCGGGAGGAATAGCAACGCCAAGGTCGCGGTGGTCGATGCGAGAATCAGGGCGGTGATTGTGACGAATGCGAGGGTCGCGCGATCTGACATCAGGTTCGCCAGCACGACGACTATGCCGGACGTGATCACGACGAAGTAGACGCTCATGCCGATGTACTGGGAGTCGTTCAGCGCCGGTATCTTCACGTGCCTGAAACGATTGAATTAGCGGGCCTCGACGTTCGCCGAACGAAATTATCGCGCGGGATCGATACGGGCCGTTTGTTGTGTCCTTAAACTTTATCCTCGTCGCGACCCCATCGGTCTCCGCGAGCGGCGCCCGATACTCGAATGACAGTCCGTCGACAAAAAGAGGAAACGCCTTTGCTAATGAACGCCCTAATGGCATCCCTCATTAAACTCCAATTCCGTTTCGGCCCCGCCTCTCCAATTCGAACTTCCACGTACGCGAACACTCCGAGCCAACGAATTGCTGTTTCGGTTCCGCACCGCTTGCAATCGCGTTACAAATCGCCGATCTGGCCGGACTAAGGCCATTCCGCTGACCATCGCGCGGAATAGTTTTTACTGCGGCTCTCTATCGGCGAAGTTTGTCGAAACCGCCGTCGAAGGATCGAAGTTTCACCCCTTTACAGCGAGCCCGAAAACATTCGAGCAGCAATAGTCAAAGTTGACCGCCGATCGTTGCAAGTTTGTCTTCCGTTCAAAGCTCGACGCCTCGGTTAGAAAAAATCGTAGATCGAGTTTTTTACGGTCGTTGGAAAGGGGAAGCTTCGATTTTTATATATACGGTTTGTTCGATCCTGGGAAAAATTTTTTATCGTTTCTAGAGAGATTTCAATATCGTCGAAAAAGACGTGTTTTTATTTTTGGCTGCTTTGACGTCGAGAGCACTCCTCTCGTTCGAAGTATGGTAAAATCGCGAGAAAAAAATCGTGTATCAAGTTTTAAGGGCTTGTAGTAAAGATGAAGCTTCGGTCTTCCAATCTGCGGTACGTTCAGTCCCGGAAAAAATTTTTTATCGTTTCTAGAGAGGTTTCAATTTCCCCGAAAAAGACGTGTTTTCATTTTCGACTATATTGACGCCAAGAGCACTCCTCTCGCTCGTAGTACGATAAAACCGCGAGAAAAAATCGTGTATCAAGTTTTAAGGGCTTGTAGTAAAGGTGAAGCTTCGATCTTCAAATCTACTGTGCGTTCAATCCTGGGAAGAAGTTTTTACCGTTCCTAGAGAGGTTACCAATTTCCCCGAAAAAGACGTGTTTTCATTTTCGACTATATTGACGCCAAGAGCACTCCTCTCGCTCGTAGTACGATAAAACCGCGAGAAAAAATCGTGTATCAAGTTTTAAGGGCTTGTAGTAAAGGTGAAGCTTCGATCTTCAAATCTACGGTGCGTTCAATCCCGGGAAAAAATTTTTATCGTTCCTAGAGACCGTTAAATTTTCAAGAAAAACACGTCATTTTCGAAGGCACTTTTCTCGTTCAGAGCACGATAAAACTGTGAGAAAAAATCGCAGATCGACTTCCGAGACGTCGTTGCAAAGGGGAAACTCTCCCCTACAAGATAAAGTTAGAACAATAGCAGAAAAAAAATTGTTTAATCGTCATGGAGTCATTCGAACGTGCAAGAGTCGGAGAGAAAAGCGTTTCAAGTTTCTCGTGCCGTGTTTGAATTTCGCGTAGAAGGACAATTGTTCTTCTAAACGGCGACGTTCGTTAAAAAAAAGTGGAACAATCGGCCGGGGTATTTTTACCTTGTTTCCCAGGCCATGTAGACGCCGACGATGAGCAGCAGTCCTTTGTAGACGTAGAGTGCGCCGAGCCAGCTGTTGGTGTGTTGCGAGTGGCACACTTCTACCTGCATCGACAATTAAACGCTATTAATTGGCCGCGTTCGTTACAGTTACAGTTTCGGATCGTGTTTGGCAATTAGGGGCTGTCTATTAGTCGGGCCAGCTGTGCCGCTCCCGGGGTTAACTATCCTAAACGAGTATCGGATTCGCTTTCAAAGAAATCTGAATTCTCTCTCGAAATTGGACAGGCGTTGGATCGACAACGGATTCGTTACCTGGGGCTGGTACACTACGCCTCTGTCCTGCGGGTTAATCTCCAGTGTCAGGTTCCGTAAGTGGCGCTGCATCGGGTCGAAAGTGACCCACAAGGTTACCACGAGGCCGTCTATCAGCAGCAGCACGAAGATCAGGCTTATCAGTCGCGTGTCTTGAAGAAGCTGCGAATAAGAAGAAACATTGAAAGATGAACAGGCTAAATTTAATATAAATTTAACATAAATTTAATATAAATTTCATAGAAATTTAATATAAATATTCTAATTGATAGACTGTGCGACTTTTATGCATTTATGACAGAAGTGGTTTGAAATGCAAAACTGTGAAGACACTGGAGGAATTAAGAAATATTGTTACAAAATATTGTTATTGTTAATTTTTTAATTATTATAGCTGTGAAGCGAACGCTTCGCAGAATGTTCGAGCAGTCGTCGCGTAAATGTTTCCGAGTTTCTGAAGCTGTAAAGAAGTAGGAAACATCGGAGCGAACGAAGTGGAAAGTTCGACGAACGAGGCGTCTAAATGGAACATCATTTTTGAATCATGCTGTTACGAAGAACAAAGAACTTCTAAACCGTTAAACAGTTCTAAAGTCGTCCCTTACGATGCAAGGGAGCCCCGAGAACGTGCTCGTTATTCAAGAATTCTGCGAAGAGTTCGCCAAATTTCTACGATTCCGACGAGCGACCTTATTCTTGACGACGCCGCTTCTGCTCTTCGTGAATATCCGATGCACCCGGTACGTCTTGGTGAACATCGAGCCGAAGGCCAACGAGAATCCGGCGGACAACAGGTAGACCCTGGCCTGGAACGAGATTGCACCTTGAACCGCGCCGTGTTCCGCGGGGCTTTGGCCGCGCGCGAATTCGCCGCGAATTTTCGAAGGGGAAAATTATAGTCCCGCGGACTATTTTCACTGGGTGGACACGAACGAGGGAGCCCCTTTCGAGTTCCGCATTACACGGAGGTCTTATCAAAGTCCGAGGGGACCCAAGGGCTCCACTCTAATTAGCTAAACGCGGCCGGGGTCGGTCGCGATGCCGTTTGCTCGCGAGACTAACGAGTTTCTCGCCGGGGAAAATGAATGCTGCTCACCGTGCACACGGCTGGATAATAGTCGTCGCTGTCCGGCAGGGTGGCGTGGTCCAGGCCCAGAAGGATCACCGCACCGTAAACCAGACCGCAGCCAACGGCTGCCATATTGTTCAGCCTCGGGCTCGAAAGTTTGATGCTCCTGTCGGAAAACGAGATTCGTATGTCCGTCGAATGTCCGCGATGATCTCGGGGCGATGTGTATCGAAATTTAGTATAATTAGTATTTACAGTAATTTAGACAATTATAGACAGTTTGAGGAAAGGAGAGCCTTGCGGCTCGTTTTTATAGTCACCGATTGCCAAAAACTGTGAAAACGAGAGACGCAAGGTTTATATCTTCTCAAATTATACATTTCTGTGCGTAATCAGAGCGCGAATCAGGGATAAATTACTGTGCAAATATAGTATTTACAAGCTTCGCGTTTATAATTTAAACAATAGCTCCTTTTCCGGCACATCGCGACGAAAGAAACATTGGAAAGTTGCACGAGTCACTAATGAAACGACGCGATGGTAAAAAATTAATGAACGCACGAGTAGCATTTTTTAGCCGTTCGATTGCCCTTCAATCGAGTGACCTCAGAAATGTGGAATTGAATCAGTGCGTTCGACGAAACGGAGCTTGAAATGTTTAAGTGCTTCGATCGCCGGCGAGTCCAGTGTCCTCAAAAATTACACGGAATTAAATTACATTGTTCGATGAAGCAAAGCTCGATACGTTGAGTGACGCTCGAACGACGATGCAATGGCGAAAAATTAGTACAACGCGGACATACGAAGAATTTTCTTTTGTTATTTCGATCGTCAATATGGCGCGATTGCGACGATTTCGTGCAAGCGAATGTAACCTCGACGAGACGGAAACCGATAAGTTTAATGGCGCGACAACGCGATGACGAAAGCTCGTGGAAGGTGGAACATTGCGATGAAACGGTGAACTTCGCGGACGCGCGAATTATGTTCCGGCGACCTCGAAAACAGCGGGGAAATTAAAACAGTTTATTCGACGATATAACAGTCGAAAAGTTAAATGAGCCTCGCGCGCGAGAATCCCGGCGCGACTCGCCGCAGCCGCGTCGCGTTAAGCAGCGCCCGTGACAACCCTGCACGGAATTTACACAGGGGACCGAGGGTTAATCAAGACTTACTTGTGCCTGCGGAAATGCAGATTGAAGGCGAGGAACGCGAGTGCGAGAGTGACGCCGACGCTGGCGATGCATGTGACCGCGAGGAAAGCCGCAGGTGCCACGGTCACCACCCGCAACCTGTGCAGAAGAAGAACGAGCCTTTTAATGACACCCCCGATGGCACCCTCGGATGCTAATCAACCCCTTAATGGCGGCTCTAACGAACGTCTAACGTTACGAGAAAACCAGCTGGGAAACTTAATTGGCTCGCGTTGCCCGCCTCTCCGCGGGAAAACGTTCGCGCGGAATCCGAGATTCAAAGCTCGCCGGCTCTATCTCGGCTTCCACCTGTTCACCTTCCTTTATCAAGCTGTTTCCGGCTCGCTGTAAGCCGTTCCCGGAAGCTATAGCAATACTCTAGTATTCGATCGCGTACAGTCGAGCGGTTCGAAGCGCCGTTCGAGGGTTGATCAGTAATATTACGCGGAATCCTCGTGCAAATATCATCGTAGAACGGGCCAGAAAAATCGTAGATCGACATTTTATAGCTCGTCGTGAAAGGGAAACTTCGCTTTACAGGACCACGTTGACTTGACTTTGGAAAAAAATTTTTGAACCTTTCAGAGCCCTTTGAACCCGCACAATGTCAAAGGAAGATAACTTTGGTTCCTTAGACGGTTTTCGAATAAATAAAAAATTGCTGTTTGACAATTCGGAGAATTGAGTTATGCTGTTTTAAAATAGGGTCTTCGAGCTTTAAAACGAGCACAGGCAGACTACCGTAGGATTTTTTTCTGTAAAATGACAGGAGTTCGAAGTTGCGGGATCGCGCGGCCGTGATTTAGCGGTCGTTTTTAAACTTATCTGTAATTGCGCCGTCGAATAGCATAATTCAGCGGCGCCGAGTACGATCGATGTAATTGGTTGATACCGGCGCCGAATTATAGATCAGCTCGTAGAATCGGACCGAAAGCCCGAGCGATACCTACCGGAAAACCCTTCGCGCCGCGGGAGGATGTCCGCCGGGCCATTTCGTCATTGCGCATCGTGGACAATTCATTATCAGCTTGCCGTCCTCCGGACTGAAAATCGCTATCCGCCTGATCACGTGGTCTGTAATTGGAAAACTTGAAGACCCTCCACCGTCCGTCGAGCGGGACGAACTGTATTCGACAACTTAAATCATCCGGTAACTTAACGCATCAATTCTTCGGGAACGGGGCTCGACTCGTTCCGCTCCGAACACTAATCAATCGAAACTTCCAACAAGCTCCGATTAACGGAGAAATTTATTCGGTGTCCGTTTCACCGGTTAACCAGACCTTCTCGCGAAAGGAATCTCGAAAGTCTCTCGTTTCACGAGAGAAAAAAGAAAGAAGGAAACAGATTTTTGCGTTCTCTTTGATTCTTAATTGAAAAAGTTCTTTCGTTTCAATTTCTCACGGTGTCCGAAAGAGGTTCCAATCACTGTAAAATAATTGCGAGGCGAACGGGTTGAAATAGGAGACAGCGATGTCTACGATGACGCTTATAAAACAATACTAATTGTTTCGAGACAGCCGCAGCTGTCTCATCGAATTGCGCAGCGCATCGCGAACATCGATATCAATATTCTAAAACACTAGAATACCCCCCCTCCCCAAAAAATATAACTTCAATTTTTCTTTTATTTCTATTCTCTTGAACAATTACAAATTGCTTGACACTCGACGTCGATATCAATATTCTAAAACACTAGAACACCCCCCCCCCCCAAATATAACTTCAATTTTTCTTTTATTTCTATTCTCTTGAACGATTACAAATTGCTTGACGCCACAACATCAAAGTTAAATAACGTTTTCGCGTCTCCATACGTCGTTACGAGCGTCCTAGAATATTTAGGGTGTCCGGACGAGGGTTTCTCGGTTAGCCAATTAAGCAAAGAATGATCGATCACGAGTATTTCGACGGAGAGAACGGCACGTGGGATCGGTGGCTCAGGCTCGCGAAGATATCCGGGTTAAAGTTTGCAGCGTTCGCGGCAATCAACGTAATGCCTGCATTTGAATAACAATACTCGTTTCGTTTTACGCCCGTCCCCCCGGACAGAAGGAGCCTATTTTCCGTGGAGGGGAGGGCGGGGGTGGGCGAGGGCTGGAAATAAAGCAGGCCGTCCGATGGCCTTTGAAAGTTCGCGTTCGCGAGAAATGCCGTTATATATCCTCCCCTCCGGCCCGGTGAATCTTTAAGCAACCATCCCTATTTCCAGCATGACGGATAGCAACGGCAGAACGGCCGGGATACATAATATTTTTTACTTTAGGCGGAACTACACCCCGCGAATCCTATTATTTCCGGGCCGAGATTGAACGGGATCTCGCATTGCCGGCGCGATTCTTTGAAGCGACCCGCCTCTGCAACGCGCGGATGCATTTTTTTGCGCTGTTTCCCCTCGCTGTTTCCGTGAAACTCTTCCTCTTTTTCTTCTTCTTCTTCTTCTTCTTCTGTTCCCCCGAAAACGCCCGCGTACCCTCCAGATACTTCACAAAAGATTTCATCCGCGTTCCAAACTGCCGCGAGTTTTGTCTCGCGCGAAATTTCATTTCCTCCGAATCGGCAACTTGATGGAAATGTAATTGAATGGCCGTGTTGACGGGGCGGAACAGTTTTTCACGCAGGGCGATGAACAGATTGGCCGGCGATACTTTGTGTAATTGGGGCGATATGCGTTTTTCAACATTCGTGGCGGATTGTTCGAGGACTGCTGTCTATATTCATTATGTTCGTTATATTCGTTGTATTAGTTGTAATTCGTTATAATTCGTTATAATTCGTTATATTAGTTATATTAGTTATATTCGTTATAATTCATTATATTGGTTATATTCGTTATAATTCGTTATATTCGTTATATTAGTTATATTCGTTATAATTCGTTATAATTCGTTATATTAGTTATATTAGCTATATTCGTTATAATTCGTTGTATTGGTTACATTCGTTATATTCGTTATAATTTGTTATATTGGTTATATTCGTTATAATTCGATATATTGGATATATTCGTTATATTCGTTATAATTTGTTATATTGGTTATATTCGTTATAATTCGATATATTGGATATATTCGTTATATTCGTTATAATTTGTTATATTGGTTATATTCGTTATAATTCGATATATTGGATATATTCGTTATATTCGTTATAATTTGTTATATTGGTTATATTCGTTATAATTCGATATATTGGATATATTCGTTATATTCGTTATAATTTGTTATATTGGTTATATTCGTTATAATTCGATATATTGGATATATTCGTTATATTCGTTATAATTTGTTATATTGGTTATATTCGTTATAATTCGATATATTGGATATATTCGTTATATTCGTTATAATTTGTTATATTGGTTATATTCGTTATAATTCGATATATTGGATATATTCGTTATATTCGTTATAATTTGTTATATTGGTTATATTCGTTATAATTCGATATATTGGATATATTCGTTATATTCGTTATAATTTGTTATATTGGTTATATTCGTTATAATTCGATATATTGGATATATTCGTTATATTCGTTATAATTTGTTATATTGGTTATATTCGTTATAATTCGATATATTGGATATATTCGTTATATTCGTTATAATTTGTTATATTGGTTATATTCGTTATAATTCGATATATTGGATATATTCGTTATATTCGTTATAATTTGTTATATTGGTTATATTCGTTATAATTCGATATATTGGATATATTCGTTATATTCGTTATAATTTGTTATATTGGTTATATTCGTTATAATTCGATATATTGGATATATTCGTTATATTCGTTATAATTTGTTATATTGGTTATATTCGTTATAATTCGATATATTGGATATATTCGTTATATTCGTTATAATTTGTTATAATTCGTTATATTCATTACATTCTCTGTATTCATTGTGTTCGTTATATTCGTTATAATTTGTTATAATTCGTTATATTCATTACATTCACTATATTCATTGTGTTCATTATATTCGTTATATTCATTATATTCATTATACTCATTATATTCATTATATTCATTATATTCACTATACTCTTTATATTCATTATATTCATTATATTCACTATACTCATTATATTCATTATATTCATTACATTCATATCGATGAATACTATTTAAGTGACAACTGGAGACTCCTATGAGCAGAAACAAATTAGAAATCGATAGTACGTTAGGGTTCTTCGGGTTTCATAAATATGCATATGTTACAAATGGAAATCAAATTGTATACTGTATTTGGTAATGAGGTATGATTGATCCGCGTGCAGCTACAGTGCAGCACGACTAATCCAGATTGCAGACTTTCATGCACAAGTTCCCACAATGCAGACCTAAATGAAATATTGTATCTTCCCTTCATGGTTTTAATAAATTCGATGGCCCACGTAGGAAAACGTGTCTCCTCTTCGTCGTTTCAATAAATTGGAAACTTAATCAGAAAATTACTTCTTCATCGTTTTAATAAATTGAGAATTGATTTACGTATAAAATTTCCTTCTTCTCTACAGCGTTCGTAATAAATGGATGAAAAAATGGATAGAAAAATGTGTCTCCCGTTCATTGTTTCATTGAATTGTAAACTTAATCAGAAAATCATAGCTTCGTCGTTTTAATAAATTGGAAACTCGATTAGAAAACCATAGCTTCGTCGTTTCAATAAGATGAACACTTACTCGCGTCGTTTTAACATCGTTTTAATAAATTGAGAACGTAAGCAGGAAATTGTGTCTTCTCTTCACGGTGTCGATAAATTGGGAACATAAGTAAAGAACTATCCGTTCGCTTCGCAATGCGAATTTTAGGCTAACGTTTCTCTTATCGTCTCGGTTATCGGAGTTCGAAGCCGCGACGCGGCCGATGCCGAATGTACATATCGTACTTGAAAATGGTCTCTTTTCCCGGGATTTATGTCCGCGGACAAGGTACCCGGAGAAACAGCGGAACAATTCAATTTCTGACAGAGTCCCCGGAGCACTTTGTTCGATTGGTCGTTCGCGTACCGCCTTTATCGTCGTTGTATAGTTAATTGATAATTACCCGAGGCTGTAACGCGGTCCCGCGGACTCGACGTTTCTCTAATCAGCGAAACTTCTTCGGGGGGGAAATAGGGAGAAATATATCCGCGGCTTGTTACGCGTTTCTGCTCGTCCGCGCTCGGTAAACCGGTGCCGCCAATTTCGATCTTCGCGCGGAATTTTCTATGCCGCCGGTTTCCCGCGTCGAAAAAACTTTTTCCCCGAGCAGAGGAAAACCGTCGCGACTCGTTCGCCCAGGCGTCGGCGGCAGGACGAACGCGACGAGTACTTTCGCAATTTCTGTTATTAGGTTATCTGCTTTTTTTTGCGACGACGACGCTCTCGACTGCCGATGGAGAAGCTTTTTCTCGCAGAACGAGAGTTTGTTTTCCGTCGTCATTAGCCGTCGGTCCGACGTCGTCGCGCGACTAATCGGCTTCGACCGGACCAGACAATTACCGCAGGAAAATCGTCTCGAATCGAAGGAATTCATCGGCGGATTCGTCGCGTAATTCGCTTCTCGAGCTTCCCGCCGTGGTAACTCGATTACCGGCGCTCCGTCGTTGCTTTATATGAATCCGTCGCGTCGCAGAAATTCTCTAAAACGCGCGGACACTTTGTTTCTCCATTTTGTTTCGCGGAGAAGCATCGCGGAAAAAGAGCCTTTATTGTGATCCCCCCCCCCCCCGTGTCTTTAGAATCGCTACAAAGCTTCGCGGAACGATAATTAAAGACCGCGGAATTTTTGCTGCCAAAGAGACACCGGTCTTTCTTTGTGGATCTTGCGATTGTTAGAAATCCGTGAAGATCCAAAGGTACACGGGCGACCAATTGTCTGCGAAATCATTGTCTAGGCTGGTCCGCGGTGTCCTGTACGCTCGCGGTGCTCGTTAAATTTCTTCGAATGCGTCGGACTTTATTTTTCACTGTTTGAAAGCAGCCAGGAAGGATCTTCGTCGCGATTCCGTATCTTTGAAATTGTTCGATGTCGCTCGGACTCGGGATTGTATGCGGTTAGGACAAAAGTGAGTGGATTGAA